TGGCCAAACCAGCCATTGCCAATCTCCTGGATATAACTCAGACTGTGACGTGCAACCTGGAAGCCTGTGGATCCCTCTGTGAAACCAACCATAAAATAAGAAGGTACTAATTAACAAGTTTCAGCTGGAGTTTTGGAAAAGTTTCAATGAAATGTGTTGATTTTAAGGTCTGCACAAACCTCAGATTTATTTAAATCACCAAACTGAAACCTAAAGTGCAATTTTGCTAAAAATGTGTTGTGAGATTTGACTGGACAGACATGGACACCATCAGGTTGTGCATACTGATTACCATCCTAATCAGATGTGTACCAATTAGAGTATATACACTATAGAATTTGTGTTACAAAGAGAGCTCAGAAAAAAAAAAAACAACCAACCTTCCATATATTTAAAAGGAATAAAAGGTTCAGCTAAATTCAGATGGCAGGAAGAGGGTGACAAAAATCCAGCTACTCAGCAACATGACATGTCATTTCTATGTGTTTTTAATATGTGCACACTTTCATACAATATGTTCTGACACACAGCATAATCCTGTGAGTGTGCATGTGTCTGACCTTTGATGCGCGCAGGAGGGTGGAGGTGTGGGGGTCCAGGCAGAGCCACAGGGGACACAGCGAGGGTGTACACCTCAGCTGGGGATTGCATAGAAGGCGTGTCCTCTGCTGGTGGGGTGAAGTCAATATCATCTTCAAGGTGGTCCTCAAACTCCTACATTAACAAACATCAGGGATGGGATATTACTGAGAACACAAAAGGTTTGTCATGATGCTACAGTAGGATACTGCATATCTAAATTTACGTCCATTTCAACCCATTCTCACTCTGTATTCATCAGGTGTAGCCTGCATGAGAACCAATGGAGCTGTGTTTCTCTGGCTACCTGCCAAGTGTGATTCTCACCTTGAAGTTGATCTCCCTTCCCTTGCAGCAGGTCACACAGTTCACTAGCAACACCACCAAGGCCACAAGTGCCGTCAGTGATACCACTAGGGACAGGCAGAGAGACACAATGTCTCCTGTGCTTCCACCTGAAATGAGAAAAACAGAGAAACTATGGTGAGCCATTATAGATATGCTTCAAAATTCATTTAGACAAAGTTAAAAGATGACACATAACAGTCTCATTAGGTTAGAAGCAGGAAAGTCTACGCATTTCAAAGTGACAACAAAAACACCCTGCACAGTGGTCCTAAAATGCAACTTCTTGTCTAACACTACTGGACATGCAATAATTCTGATTGTGTAAAGAATCAGAACTGGTTTTTTTAAGGCTTGACAATAATTGTGACTCTTGAGACAAAAGAACCCCGCTTATATCCCTCATCAGCTATTAGGGAGACTGCTGTGGGGGTTTCTACTGGCTGATGAGCAGCTGATGGTGCAGCAGTGGTGACAGCAGGTCGAGTGTCAGAGTTGACAGCAGCCTTGCAACCTACTGTCTGTGCTGCTCAGTGTTTGAGTTAGCCTTGTTCAAATATATGCTGCATTAGTGGTCACGTTTTCTGAGGTTTATCTTGCAATTCTGACAAAGGCGTCACCTTTTGCTAGCATTTCCACCTCGTCTTTCATTTCCCCAAATGTCACTGCTCATTTATAAACACTCATCTGAAGAGGCATGACTACTGGTGACTGCATCGTCTCATTCCTGCCACAGTGAGTAAACAGTCAGAAGAAATTCAAGTCAATCCCTCCCACTTGCAGCTTGAATTTTGTTTTTCATCATTTCTTTTCTCACATGGAGACTTGGTGGATACAAACACACATTTGTTTAAGTTATTTTAGAATTTCACAGTGATTAGAGCTGTTGCCTCGCAGCGAGAAGGTTCTGAGTTTGAGCCCGGGCTCAAACTGTTGTAATAAATGTAAACATAAGCCCACTGCCATATCTCAACATAGCACACTGTGTGTCCATGAATGAGTATCTACTGGAAAAATAGTCAGAGTTTCTGTGAGGCAGTCCTCCCTGTTCTTGCTCTTGGGTTTATTCTGTCTCCCACTGATCATAGCTTGTCAGGTACATCTTGTCTGCTACAGGGAGAATCAACACCTACTGAGTCTCCTTACAAATTCCTGGCAGATGAAAGCAGGTGCTGAATACTGTACATCAAGGCTACAAACCTGCTTCCAGGTGTCTCATGTTTTCAAAAGCAGCACATAGTGAAGATCTGAGTACAACTTTAAGACAAATCATCTGAGCCCTCTGGAATAAACTAGACACCAGACTAAGGCTAATACCGTATGTCGACACTAAACCACTAAACCTGAAAATGATGACTAAATTGCGTGTTCTGTCTTGTTGAAACACAGAGTTAGGTACGACAGAACAAAGGTTTTAAGTCTGACACCAAGCAGAGAAAGTGGGACATGTCTGTCACATTCCTTACCAGACGATGGGTCTAATTTTATTATTTGCAAGCAAAGAGAAGGGAGACAGATTTCACAGTTCTCCTATTTACTGCTTTGGCATCTGTGTCGCCAGACTTGAAAAAACCTGAAAAGATGGTGGAGATGCAAACTCCTCTCCATGTAAAAAATAATTCCAGATTAAGCCCCATGAACATGTCATACAATTCTTTGGTGATACAATAGCAAATTCAGGCCTTGTCTGGAACTGATATAACTAACCTGGCACCAAGTCCTATATTCATTAAGTCTGCCGTTCAGAATAAACCTGTGGTAAGCACTTACAGAGCTGAAAGGCAATATAACAAGAGACTGAGCGGCAATCTCACAGTCAGGTCTGGTCAGATGGAGCAGTTGTGCATCCAGACAGCACATCCCATCAGAGCACAGATGAGCACTCTCCAGGGAGCATTAGACATAATTCAAAGTGTCAGCCCTGATTGAGATTCATTTCATCTCTGTCACTGAACAAATCAGATTTTTTTTCCCTGCCTCTGAGATGAGATTGTCAATACAGCTCAGCCAGAGACACCACAGGCAACTGAACCTTTAGGAAAAGAAATAAACTGTAAACAGGTGAAACATTACTAGCTGATGGCTGTTTATATAGGATTCCTTCCACACCCTTCTCTTCTGTGCTAAAGACTGCAACAGAGAATCTCTCTGTGCTAAAATATTGACGAGGAAAGAAATTAAAGATTAAAAGGTTCATATTCTGGACACAGGCCCAGTGGATGTAGCTCTACATGGAGATATGCACTTAAAACTGTTAAATTAGGGTTTCATAACTTGCAATTTATCACTGACATCACGAGCAGTCTTATACAAGCTACCGGAGGTTTTATATTATTCTTTCGTGGTGTAGTTATAAGTGGGAGGCACAGGATGACAACTAAGGCACTCCAGCCTGACTGAATCTACTTAACATGCCTCAATCAAAACCACTGAGTGCAAAAAATTTGAATGAGGAGAATGACAAAAAAAAAAAAAATCCTCCTAAGGGAAGTCACCTCATCCATAATAGTATTACCCAATGTTAAGAAGCAACACTACAAGAATGATACATCCATAACATAAGAGGAGGAAAAGGGATTAAACACTGTAGCGATATTAACAGTATCTGATGGAAAGAAAAAGGGTCACTAGAGTGTGTGGGTGGTGTTTCCAATCACAGAAAAAGAACTGTTGATAAATGTGAGAGGAAATGACTAGATGTTTAACAATGCTGAAATAAGGTTAATGGAAAAATAAACACCTGTTTTGCACAGTAAAAGCTTTGTGATTATCACAGTCAGTGAGAGAGGCTTTGCATATGTTGGTAAACCAGTTAGAAATTGGTCTAAATCTCTATTAGGACACCATTAGTGCATCAGTTGAAAACAGTTAACTGGTACTCTAGGGGTCAACACTTGCTGCAAGCACTACTGCACTGTTCCCCTGTTATGTAGCAGCCCACTCCCCCCTCTACCAAACCCAGGTGGGTACCACCACAGTGTCATACGGTGAAAGGGAAACCCCTTACTGGGGTCTACTACTCTTCCATGCTAAAAGGATTGAAGATAAAAAACAAAAAAGACTGTCCCAAGACTCCCTTTGTATAAATTTATTTAACCCACATGCCCATCTAATTCCATTAACAAACCGGCACCATGTAGCCTACTGTAGTTTGATCCTGACGCTGGGCCTTCCCAATATAAAATACCCATGTTACATAATGTGCACTAGATTAGCAGAAATTTACAGCATCATGAAGCCAAGAGCGAGTTAATGATAAACCAGGACTTAATAGCCCTGTTCAAGTCACCTCTAAAATATGTTGTGTAGCCATTTTTCACCAAAGACTTCCTCCATTTACAATTACAGCTTGAAAAAAAATGTAATGTTTCTGCCATTGGCAGAATGCATTATAGAGAGTTTCACAGTTCTTCTGTAAAATCAAAGCTCAGCTTCCCAACAGTCTGGTGGAACCATTTGGCTATAATTGCAGACAGCCCTTGGATACAGACACCGCCTCTGTGGCTCAGCAGAGCCATAGGGTTCCAGGCAGTGCAGAACAGCAGCAGTCTGACAGAAAACAAAAAAAAAAAAAAAGGAGCTGGGTCACGACTGCTCTACATAGGATCAGTTCTCCTCAGTTAGGCCTTATCTGAGTCACGGGCTCATATTATGACTTGGCAGGCTTTACCAAGTGACTCAGTTGGTTTTGGGGATCCATACAGCAGGAAGCTGCCAGGTCTTATTTCAGTTCTGCTGCATATTTCAGTAAGCATTCATACAATTTTGCAGATTTTACCCAGAACTGTGTATAACATTGATCGCCTGTACTTTGAGCCAGAATGGAGGATGGCATTGCTTGGAGGAAATGTTTGAGTTTGGCTAAGATTTGTCTGTGTACTTAGATAGGAAACATAGAGCCTCAATGATCAAATGAAGAGCAGCAGCCAATACTTATGGCTGCCCTGGTAAGGATCCTTATTTACCAGGCTGTTTTCCATCATATTCAAACAATAAAAAAATCAACACTACATAGACTGGTTAACATCTGCATGCATCCTCCTTTCTAACATCCTGCAACAATGCAAAAACTGCTCTATTTGGGGTAATACATGTTAAATGAAGCAAACAACTGTATTAGAGACAATGGACTCTGGCTAGAGACTTAACCCCAGACAGCAAAATAAAAAATATACAACAGCAGCATCCCCTACAGCCTGGGATGTTAGTCATCGATCACCGAGCAGCGTAATGGATGGCCAATGTCCACCCTGACTAACACACTAGGCATGCAATTATCACATGACTGTTGCATTAAAGCTTACTAATCTACTTTTGCCCATGTTTGATGTGTGTAAACAGAGCTTTCAAACTAGCTTAGTTATTAATCTTATTTGTGTCATCTCACCCACAATCCATAACCTAAATCAAAACTTAAACAATCAACCATTACATTACCTGTACCTATCTGTACGCACTCACAAATAAAAGCAGTGAAAAGTGGGTCAAAGGACAGGTTGCTTTGTAAAAAAAAGCATAAAAATATTACCTTACTGCAGCATCACCTTCCTGTATGTTGTACAGTGATTAAGAAAACTATATTGTTGTTAATCATTAACTGGTTCTGAGCAGACTGAAATGTGTCATGTTTACAAGTTATCAACCCTCATTACAGCATTTGCATCTACACTTTATTTCACTGTAAAACAATCAAATTATCACATTATGCCAAGACACGAGACAGACGGTGTGAGGACACTATAATAATAACACCATATAAGTTATTCAAGGTTCATTTCAGAACAAGAAGATGTTCCATGCTGGCAGGCCAACATCCATTCTATTGCCCCATAAACTTGGTTATATGTCAATAACTGGACCAACCCTGCACCTGCAGCTACAATCGGCGGTATTACATTAACTCAGACGCATTGGTGCTACCGGGAAACTGTGTAATTCGTGTTAAATATCAACCCAACCCAAACCAAACTAGTCTGGCTTAATAAGTGTTTTCTGGACAGTGTTATTGGAAAAGTTTAATGTTCTTGTTTACCCGTTTGCTATTAGCTGATATGGAGTTACATTTTCCATTATTATTAAACATTTTACCGGCATATTTAGACAGAAATATTATTGCTATTGTGTAAAGTGTGCAAAATTTGTGACTACACAAACTACAGCCAGTTCGAGTCAACAATCTTCACGGGTTAGCAAGTAATGCAGCCAGGCTGTTGTGTTGTTAGCTGATTAGCAGCAGCTACACAAGCAGCAAATATTAGCTAATCGAAACGTCTGCTAACTAAGCAGCTGGATAAACAGGATTTGTAACTCAGTGAGGGAATATACAGTCGCTTAGCTTAGCTGTGTATCGGCTTGCAGCCAGCTGTCTTACCTGATTTGTGAGAATATTGAAGAGGGGCACCTTCAGACAGCCAAAACGCCGACAGAAAAATCCCACTGGCCAGCAACAAAACATATCCATGGCGGCTCTCCATAATCCAAGCTTAGCTAACAAACCGATAGCCAACTGGAATCGTCGTCCTAAACAACAAATGGCTGATCTGATGATAAATAAAGTGTTTTAGTCATTGACAATCATATTTTTTGTGTCAGTTTAGCGACTTGCTATTAGCCAGATAACTAGCTTCAGCTAGCATGTCAACCTTTTAGCTGACGACAGCAAATACCGCTACGAATTGTAGTGTACCGTTGTCCATTGAGACAAAAGTAGCGACCACCGTTCACGACATATCATATCTGTTGTGTGTACCCTGATATCAGTTAAATTAAAATAGTTACAGGAAATTAATCAATAGCCCTGACTATCATGAAACACCTATCCTCCAAAGCGCCATGTTCCTGTACAACGTCACATCACGGAATAAGGCGTAATACTTCAAATAATTGACAGCTAGACGAGCCAATCACAACGAAAAACATGTTGACATTAAACACACACAGCCAATCAACGTCAAGTCATATTAATAGTCATGTAAATCCAGTGCTTTGCATAAAAGCCGGAGAAAGCTTTTTTTTCCTTTTTTTCCCAAACATGTGAGCAATGTTATACTGATTAGGGCAGAAGATCCGTCAATATGAAATGTTTTTCCGGATTTACGGCCAACCATAAACCACCAGGATGTCTTATGTGGGCGAGACATCTGACTGGTGTAAAGAGGCTTAAAGCATCATTACTGATTTCTTGTGGATTTTTTCTTTCATGCTCTTTCATATGAATATTGCTGAATGTTAGATTTACTGGGGAAATCGATATTTAATAATCAAAGCAAAAACAAACAACAGAAATTGAACACTATTTTGACATCAATACCTACAGAGAAATGCCCTTAAACAGTTGGCAGTCTACACTGATCCAAATTAAAAACATATTTTATTAAATAATTAAGCCTAAATACACAAATAAATAAATAAATCATCAGATTTAATTATTATAATGATCTGTGTGTTTACAAGACAACACCAACATACTTCCCCTTTGTTTTTATTGCTAAGACTTACAATATGAAAATTATATTATAACAATAAAATTAAGAACATGTTGTAGATTGATAATTATTTATCTTATCTACTGAAAGGATCTGTGTACAATACACCTGCTTTATATTTTATATTGCTATTAATTCTAAATAGAAAGAAGTAATAGCATTATTGGTAGTAGTGATTGCTGTTGTAGTAGTAACTTAGAATGAACATTACATGAAAAATCTGCACTGTTAAAATGCATTTATATTTATAATTTTCATTCAATTATATTTGGTGCCTTCTTACTATGTCAAACAATATGAGTAAGAAAATTATCTGCTCTGATTAACAGTCTTAGTAAATGGTCTTATACTTGTATAGCACCTTTCTATGCTTTTACAGCACACTCAAAGCGCTTTCACATTATTCAGCCATTCACCTATTCGCACTCCCAAATTCACACACCGGTGACATCACTGGGAGCAATTGGGGGTTCAGTGTCTTGCTCAAGGACACCTCGACATGTTGACTGGACAAGCCGGGAATCGAACCGCTAATCCTCTGGTTAAGGAAACGACCCGCTCTACCTCCTGAGCCACAGCCGCCCCTGAAGGAGGAGGGGGCATTCTGTGGCGCAGGGGAAGTCTCCCTTGGTATGAGAACAGATAAGTCAGGTTGCTTCTTGCAGTCTGGATCACAAAGCTGCAAGAGAGTGTTGGTGGCTTAGGCACAAAGCAAAAGAGATAGTGATCTGTGCATCATAGGCTCTGAGAGTGTAAACCTCATCTGAAGCACGGTGAGTACCAAGCTTTTGTAAATTCATGTGCATGTGTGAGGATAGCTGCAGTTCCATCCGTGTTTGTGCCTTGGAACATCTCTGTTCTTATGCAGGGAAAATAAATGTTAAAATGTAGGAGAGAAAATGGGACGTTCAATTGTCTTTGTGCTTGTTCCATCAAGTTGCAACAACTTTCTCCAAATTCAGCAAATGCTTTCATTTTGTGAATGACTCGGATCATCAGACAGTTTTCACATAATTTAAACTTTGCTATATGATGAAATATCTTTTTCATGGCGAAAACAACAGTTTATGGAGTTGTATCTTTTATTAACATGGATGTACCTTACAGTCAAAATGGTACAGCCCAACTGTTAAATGGTACAACGCAGGCCCTTGTTTTTTGACAATGCTGATATAGCTGAAGACTACCTACAGAGAAATGATAATGCATCTATGCACAAGTTGTGACTGTTTCTATCTGACAGAGACTGTTATCTGACAGCAGAAAACACCTGCATCAGTTTCATTTACTGTCACTTTGCATTTACTCCATGCAAGTGTGTGTATATCCCCTTAGGCAGCAAGAGAGGACCATGGCATTTGCAGGGATGCTGAGTGAGGAGGACATCAAGGCTGCAGTCCAGGCTTGTCAAGGTCAGTCAGACAGCACACACACACTTGCACACAGGGTGAATACACTTTACAAGCATCTGATTGTAAACACAAGAGTACATATTTTACAAATCTATTTACATATTCCAAACAGAGAGTCACAGGCAATTTTAAAGCTACTCCCACTCCCATGGGGAATGATACTGTATGTTGTTCACAGGAAGACTGCAGGTAACCAGGCAGCCATGTGGCAGGAGAGCAGTTACCACCCAGATACCAGAGTGTTTACGTTGAGTGTTTACATAGAGAACATCAAGTCACACAAACTATACAGCCCTCACATCCCAGAGCACTTAATTATTTCTCTGTTGCAATTATTTCTGCATGACGAAGTAGACACTGCTCAGCTACTCTGATGAAAATCAAACGTCAGTGCTTATATGCTTTTTAATTTAAGAAATCCACCCTGTTAGCAACGTGATAGGTAAAATAACATTCAAACTTTGTCAGTTACAGTTCAGATTTTGCACATATTATTAAAAGGAATCTTTTTTTTTCTATTTTAAAAAGTCTTGAAAAACTAAATAGTCTAAGAAAGTGGGGATAGACAAATAACCTAGTGTTAAAGGTTCAATTCATCTATTAAAAGGTTATTTATTTTTATAAATTTTTAATTTCTCATACAGTGGCTGAAAGTTTTTTTCAGCAAATTCTTTTCATTTACTCATCAGTGAATGGCTGGATAAATATAGAGCTTTTAACATTTAGGTTTGTAGTGGAGCCATGAGCAATATTTTGTGTGCTTTGACTGTTTCAGTAGCATAATGGCACAGCCTATAATGGTACAAGACAGTGATGTGCTTCAGGGTGTATATTGGTAAATGTCATTGGTTGAAAAATGAAAGTCATCTGAGCAAATGAGTAAATGCAACATCTCTATTCAGCCCTTCACCGTTCTTGCTTTCTTGTCATTCTGTGACTGACCTCTCACTCCCACATCTCTCTCTCTCTCTCTCTCTCTCTGTCTCTGCCCGTGTAGCTCCAGGCACATTTGACTTCAAGTCCTTCTTTGAAAAAGTGGGACTGACTGGATCATCTGATGCAGATAGGAAAAAAGTGTTTACAGTCCTGGACCAAGACAAGAGTGGTTACATTGAGGAGGAGGAGCTCAAGTAAGGTTGCAGTGTGTGCGGTATAGATATGTGTGTAGGTAGGTCTGTGCATGTGTGTTACGTCCATGCTGTCTGTAATGGCATTTTTCAACTCACTGTTGGTTGTTCATTATTACAAAGGAAATACAATGTTTTCCTTAACATGTCTTAGGCCTGAGGCAGAGGTCAGTGCATGAAAGGAACAACATTTCTGTGATGAATGAATTGAGTAATATAAGAGGGGAGGGGTAGTGAGTGAGTGATGGGGGGAATGCTTGTTGCTGATATATATATATTTTTTGTCTACTAATCAGACGGTTCCTTCAGAATTTCTGTCCTGCAGCAAGGGAGCTGACTGTGGCTGAGACCAAGAGTCTGATGGCTGCAGGAGATAAGGATGGCGATGGCAAGATTGGGTTGGAAGGTGGGTGTCTGTAAAAGTTTTGTCAGCAAATGAGAAAGGAAGCCGTCTGTAGAGGAGCTGTCCACTATGTAGTGCTGAACTCTGTAAAAAAAGACAAGGAAATAAATAATCTAGTGTTTGTTGAATCATCTTTATTAAACATAATTCTGCATGACATTGTTCCACTGTCTTTTGGTTTCTTTTTTACCCCACAGAGTTCTGTATTCTCCTGAAATAAAGAAGTCAAGCATATATGACGGCAGCTGTCACCCCGTTTTTTCTCATGAAACTCCTGACATTCCAAAAGTCTGATGCGAAGCCCAGGAACCTCAGATATTCTGCACCTGCCTCTTGCTCTCCCTGTTGATGTGACACAGTAATGCATAAAATGTTTGTTGCACAAATAGCTAAAGCTGGATATTAGTTGTGTATTTAATCAGTCAGTCAGGTACCTGGAATGGATTAATAAATTTATTTCAAATTGGAAATCACTGTCTGCTGGCCTTTTTTTCACCTGCCTGTAAGGAACAATATATTAAGTGTCTTATTTTATTCTATGGCAGGGTAAAGGTAGTTAATTCAGGGGTTTAAATTCACTAAATCCGGAGTATAAAGTCCCTGCATCACTTCTGAAATGACCTTTATATTGACTAGATTTATAAGAATAATTAGAGCTCACTAAATAGATGAATGCATGACAACTCGACAGCTTTTTCAATAAATTATCTTGCACATACAGGGTCATTAGAGAACGCTGGCTCAGAATGGGCCAATTATGTGCTTTATTGAAAGGACTCTGGTGATTTCTGTTCCTCATTTATGATTCAAAACAGAATACTAAATAGGAATATATAAGTTAGAGTCAAAATTAGCGAATTTTGAGAAAACCATTTGTTTTAAATTGATGTTTTCCTTACTAGGACATGTATCACCTTCTGCTGGGCAGATTAAAAGTTCCTGTAGAAATATCCATCATATGGAAAATACTCATAGTTTATACAGAAACAAATGACTCAGATGGGTTACCATGATGACTGAATAAAGTGCAAAAGACCTGAGAGTCATAGGACACAAAAACACAGAGTAAAGGGCATTCTCATCTTTGATTCTGTTATTAATGTGAAAAACTTAGCTGCGTTTTGAGTCAATGAAATGCGAGTGAAGTTGTTAACATATTACTAGCTTGTTGATGTGTTCACACACACACACACACACAAACACAAAATAGTCTGATTGATAGGGGCAGTGCTCAGTATGAACAGCGATCTGGTGATGTAGGCTCCACAATCTTGTTCATGCTGGGGCGCTGAGTGCATCTGAAACTTGACTCACTACATGTAAAGTTAAGGTGAACCTTATAGAAATTTACTGTAGTCTAACATCACAGGACAGCATGGCAGAGGCTGCACATACACATCATATGAGATCTCAGAGCAGTGCTGCAACTCCAGTCCTTCACATGCAAGAACAGAAAGCCTGACTCCAGTCACCTGAGAAAAACTAAAATCAGTGTATATGAGAAAAACCAGACAATCACAGACAGTGCATTCAGAATTTTCAAATACTTATGTATCACAGAGTAAAGCATTGTTGGATTGGACAGGAACACTGCAGGTTCACATGAATGGGCTATATGGAAACATTTTACTGATACCAGTGGAAGACAGAATGAACAAACAGATAGGCTATATAAACTCTATCAATCACTCTATCACACAGCGACATGTCTCTAAAACCATAGCCCATATAACATTTTAATGATAACACCAGAGGGAGAAAGCCATGGTGTTTTCAAGGGCAGCATAAGCAGTTCTGACCTGATAGGTTTATGTTTCAAATTGATGAATTACATGTAAGAAAGTAAATTAAATATTCCCTCTGTTAATTAAGATCAGAATATCTGTCCAAATGGCCATAACTCCATTGTTGTCATTTGTGTGATGTGTATGTTTTTTCTCACAAACCAAAATAGAGGACATGACCCATGGCCTGTGCTCTCACACCTTCCCATTCTTTTCATTTCTTCTCAGAAGAAATTCAAAGCGTCAAAACCAGCATCTTAAATGTTGACTATAAATCATGTTAGTAGGCTACACCATGTCCTGTAAGTCAGCTAGCACTGGGCCTGGGCCTCATCAGATTTCGACGCGTCTAGCTATAGGCCTTTTCACACATGGCAGCATCCTCATTTGTTCACCTAAAAATAGGTCCAGGCTACTAGACACATTTTTTCAAAACCCATGCATCTTGGTATCTGATACTGAGACTCAAAGCTCTGTAAATGGTGTTGCTCATGGATATATAAGAGTGAGGGAAAGGGGCTTAACGCATTTACCCAAGTCCTCCTTGGTTTTCACTCGCCTCAGCACAGAGCAAAGGTGAGTGGGAATTGCACCCAGCAAAGGCTACAGACTCCTGGCAGATTACACTGGGGGGACAGGGATTGAGATAAGGAGCTCCCTGTGGACTGTACATTATAGAGAGAAATGGAACCAGCGCAGCCAGCAACTACACCGATCAATGGGATGATTCAATGGGTGCGAAAAGGAGGCCAAATGCAGCAATCTGATTTCAAAAGATCAACGTTTGTGGATGATAATTGTGCTATTTTACATTATCTTCTTCAACCGGATGAGAACAAAATCACACCTAAAGCTGCCATCGCGTTTGACATCACTGCATTTCCCCAGATGCGGTGTTTATTTCTGGCCTTTATTCGTGTTGCTGTGATTTGGCATCTCAGTGGGAGCATCATCTATCTAGTACCATAGCAGCAAAACGCTTTGGGATAAACAGAATCATACATGTACTGTGATCAGACATCCGGAGGGCAAAGAATAGCTCTTTACCCATTAAAAACAGGACCTGTGATGCTGTGTGGCAGGCTTTGCAAATTAAGCCAATTAAGTGGTTTGTTTGCGAGCAAAACAAACAAGTGGCTTTGAAAATGGCTGAGAATGAGACTCTGCCTAATAATGCGCCTGAATTTTTATTCTCTAGTGAAGCTATAGCAGGAATAGCATTGTTTAATACTTGCAAGTTGACTTTAGTCCACAGAAATGTGCTCTATGTTTTAGAAACATATAGCAAAACACCAGTCATTTGAGAGAAACCCTCTATGTGCCTCTCTAAAGTCATTGTATCTTAGAGGTCATAAAGTATGTGAATCTCATAGATACAACATTTCAGTCATTCAGAGGTTTGCTTTACTGAGGACATGTGCCACAATATGACCACTGTATAGGATTAGGCTATACTAACTGTGCTATGTCTTCTTTCCTCTCTAAGATTGAAATATGGCCTTCTCTGGTATCCTCAGTGATGCTGATGTAAAAGCAGCTCTGGACGGCTGCTCAGGTGAGCCTCATGGTCTTAATTTTGTATACAGTAAATGCACCGAATATATGTCTTTGCCCTTTTTTCCCACTGCAAACCCTAACCTAACAAATTGGCTGAGATCATGGTGTGCTAACCTCTCATTTTCTGAACGTGTCATACAAAGTGCCAGCTGCATTTATCGTGTTACATCAACATTGAAGCCCTGGGTTATGCTCATGCAGTCTGCTGGGTGTCAACAGTGTGAAAATGTGTGTTCCAGCTGCTGACTCCTTCGACTACAAGGCGTTCTTCAAGGCATGCGGCCTGGCAGGCAAGAGCGCAGATGATGTCAAGAAGGCCTTTCAAATTATTGACCAGGACAACAGTGGATTCATTGAGGAGGATGAGCTGAAGTAAGCAGGCGCTCAGTGCCTCAGTGGCAAAAAAATAGTAGTAATAAGAATCGTACACCACATACACTATTAATGTGCTATGTTTAAGTTAGGTCGAGATCAATCCGAAAACCTTTCTTTTATTCCTGATTTGTACATTGTGTTTTACCTTGGATTTCATCTGAGAGTCAAATGACACGGTGAATGAGAATAAAGAAGAAGGTTTTATGACCATGTATATTTAAATCCCTGTGGATTTTTGTTTTAAAACCTCGACCACAGAAACTGCTCATGAAACTTAAAGGAAAATTGTTCTATATAATGATTTAGTACAGATGAAATGTATGTCATCTTAACTTGTGCTGTTTGTCCACCTGTCAGGCTTTTCCTGCAGAACTTCTCCGCTGGTGCCAGAGCACTCACTGACAAGGAGACCAAGACTTTCCTCGCTGCTGGTGACACCGACGGTGATGGCAAGATCGGAGTCGATGGTAAGAGCTCTTCACACGTTTCTGTATATCGTTGACAGAGACATGGCAGAGACATTCAAGATTATATCTGACACCTGTTCTCAGTGGACTCCAAATGAATATGTTTTTAACATCAGGTCACACACTCTTTGACAGAGAATGGGTCCAGTCACTCTACATTATACCACAATGATGACATAATATTCTGAATACATTTTGCTCACTACTAATGGCAGTTTTATTCTACTTTCACAGAGTTTGCTGCCCTTGCAAAGGCATAAATTTCCATTGACCAGGACCCACTTCTTTTCATGGAACTGCAAACTCCTTGCAAGATTCAGTATCATCAGCTGAAAGAATATTTTTTATACCTTATTTATGAGTTGCCTGTGGACTATTTCTCAACATGGAACACATACTTTACTGTTACTGTTATTCAGATGTGTTATATGATTTGAAAAATGACCTGTGAAGCCTGTACACCATCTGCACATTTGAGGAAGAGTGATAAACCAGGAATAAATGCTCTTTTGGTGTAAAGTCATCTCATTCAGGCCAGTCACCTTTGCATTGGTCAACTGTGGTGTAGTATACAACCCATTGTCTTGACATAGCTGTGGCTATGTCAAGACAATGGGTTGAGGAGTTTCCACGTGCCAGAGTTGCTGACTACTCAGGAGGTGCTGAAAACCCATTGAACTGACCTGCCCAGCTCTTGTTTTGGTAATTGGTTAATGAGGAGGCGAGTGTAGCTGGACTCAGACCAGTAGCTGGCAAACACAGTGGGAACGGCTTTGCTCGCATACTTCCTGGATCCATGGAGGTTTGCAATGGATAGCAGCCACAATTAGTGTAATTATTCGATCTGATCCAAGGTGTTTTTCTCTCCACCAACTGCTATTTAGTCAATGAGATGATGTGCTATAACAACAGCCACCACTGCATCAGCAGGACATAAATCTGCTGCAAAGATGCAGCTCTGTATCTGTCTGAGAGGTTCTTAACAAATTCTTTAAAATGTATTTTCATTGTGGTGTTTAAATTATGTCACAATTTCTTTCACAATATTGTGTATTGGTCTAAAAGACATCTGAACAGCTTATTAGTTAAATTACTGTGCCAGTAGAAATGGAAGTTGTGAATACTTGGGGAACCTCAGGTCAGCAATATGTAAACCCTCAACTTATCAGATGACACTGAGCTTGTTACCATCAACCAGTGGTCAAAACACAGAGAGAGACAACCAAAGAGCAGTCTGGGGTTTCTTCGGGCTCCTCTCACAGAACAGTGCTGCCACCTGCAGGTCATAGCTGATCTCGCAGCCATGTACAGTGAGCAGAGCTGTCAAGTGCAATGACAAGAGTAACCCGATCTCCTTTGTTTGGAGGAGAAGGATTTGATTAACAGTAGGACCATTCTCCCAGTGCTTTAAAAAACTAAACGAACACTTAGAATAACATGACTGGTACGTAAAAATATAAAGAAAAACGCGGGGCTTTTTGCAGAAGACGTTTTTGATCCAAAAATCTCTCCGTCCACTTTGACTCATCTGAACAATAAATAACAGCAAATCTAAAATATTCTTGATTATGTGCAATAAAGTTGACATACCTGTCAAAATAGGACACTTTGTACTGTTTCCGTGCACCATAGTTATAACTGCAACGTGCTGAATCTTGATTTGAAAGACGCACATCCCACGTTTTACCATGTTGTCCAAACAGCAAAAGCAACATTCTCACAAGATGAAGTATAACAATAATTATTTATTTAAAATGTATTTTGCACATTCCGCATATATAGTCAAAGCACTGATTGGCACATTATGCGTAAATAAATACAGGACTACAGAAAGACTTTTCTCCAAACTCTCCAAGTAGACTCAAGTAAATACATGAATAGAATAGTCCAATCAGTAATCAACAGTGCCACACAAAAATTGGGAAAACAACCAATTAATGCCACTTACGCCAGTTCTAACACATGCGTGCTCAGTATCCACCCTTTTGGTTGTGTGTTGCCAACAGCACTTCCAATTCGTCCTCCTCAGCAGTGCACATGACTATTCTTAGCATCGGGGGACACTGAAGACTTCTTCAAACGCACCATTTAAGCGTCTTCATTTGTGAAACTTAAAATAGACCGCTCTCTGGCTACAGGACGATTTTTCACCATCCCTTCTCGGTGTCGCCTCAGATTTCGAAGGACCGAAACTATAAAAGGTCACCAGGAGCACCGGGATGATCACTGCAGTCGACTCTAGTCTTGTCTGTATCACCTGTATCCTACAAAGCAAGGACACCAGAGGTGAGTTTTCAATGAAAGGAGAAAAGAATCCCAGGATCCATGCAGCCAGACCCGCAGCATCACGCTGGGCATCTTTGAGAAAACATTAGCGATGTTTAGCAATTTAAATAAGGACTTTGCACTTCAGTGCAGCATCTAAAGAAAAAGATTCATTTTGCGTTTGCTGCGGGAGCCTCAGCTGCATGACGATGTGGATTACTGGTCAGATCTCCCACAGTTGCAATAGGGAATACGTGTCAATCTCAGACTTGGGACTTGGGAACGCAACATCAAAGATGCCATTCAGAAAGAAGTGGATTGAGTAATTTCCATTCTGAAATGTGAACAGTTTCTATTCTAATTTGGAATAATTAACAGAACTTTAAAAACTGTATTTATTTCTTTTAGCAACAGCTCAAACCATAATAATGGAGTAGCGCACTGCTATTGTAATGATAGTATGATCCATAACCTGTCTAATTCACTTTTCTGGTTCTGTTTACTATAGCCTGTATAAGGCTCTCCATTGCTTATTACTTAGCCATAATATGTCCAACGTTTAAAGTATAATAATCGCTTTTATTTTATTTCTGCAGATTAAAATGGCTTTCGCAGGTGTACTGAATGAGGCTGACATCGCTGCAGCCCTGGAGGCGTGCAAAAGTAAGTCCTAAAATGACAATTACAATCACACACACACACACCCCTGTGTAGCTTCTTGTCTAGCTACAATATTTGGATTTTAGTAACAGCTCTGGTTGATTTCAGGCCCTGACACATTCAACTACAAGAACTTCTTCCACACCTGTGGTCTGTCCGGCCATAGCGCCGACGACGTGAAGAAGGCCTTTGGCATCATCGACCGGGACAAGATCTGTTTCATTGAGGAGGATGAGCTGAAGTAAGACGCACACCTTTGGCTGCACACATCTCCAGGGGATGTGTTGCTTCCTTTGCTCTAAAGAGATACCAATCTTGCTGCTTTACTTTCGTGTCAGCCACATGAAACAATAATGTTTTACATAATGTGCCTGTAAACCCAGCTACTCTTGAGGCTACTCTTGCAGGTTATAAGGACTAAAGTAAAGTAGATGCGCGCGCACTCTTGGGTTCAGGGTGAAACCATCTTTAGCCATCAGCCTACACTTCCTGTCGTCCCTCTGTGACCACCTGGATAATGTTTTCAATGATGCACGTTATGATAGTATAGCCTACATCAGTGTGTAGATTAGTTACATCCAATAAATGATCTGGACAAGACGTTTGTATTCAGTGGATGTTTGTGTTCGGCAGTATTTAGATGGCACCTTGAGACTGTGTAGGAAACGTGATGGGTGTTGGAGTCCCTGAACTAACCACTGCTTCTGCGTGTGCTCAGGCTGTTCCTGCAGAACTTCAGTGCAAATGCACGCGCACTGACCGACGCCGAAACCAAGGCTTTCCTCAAGGCCGGTGACACCGACGGTGACGGCAAGATTGGCGTTGATGGTATGGACTGTGGTTAACTCCTACTAATGCAGAGTGATAAAGGCACAGAGTAGGAAAAGTCACCGGGTGTGTTTTCTTCTGTCTCCCTGCAGAGTTCGCTGCCGTGGTTAAACAATAATGGCAAGTGACCAACAACACCTGCTCTAATGGAACAACAAAGCCCACGTCGACCTCCCCCCTTTTCATCTGAATATACATAATTTTTATACATTTGCTTAAGAGACGTTTCGTCCTATGCAACACACTGTCCAAAATGATGATTGTGAATGTCGCTCGGTTGTGTTCATGTCTTAATTATGAATTTTGCTTATTGTAAAATCTATGATGCACTTTCCAGGAACGAACGAAAAAAGAATAAATATTCTTTTGCTACGGTCTCCCTGGAACTTTATTGTAAGCCTAACACTTCCTGTCTTTTCCATCTATGGACAACATCTTGCAAATTCTGCAGGCCTATCCCGACCTTTTCTCTTTTTAAACATGAAACATAAACCTGTCCTGCCAATGTATAAAAAGGAAAATGGTCTTTCTCTCTAACACACGCACATTTATTCAGAGAGAGAGAGGGAGAGAGAGAGAGACTATGTACAGTTATGCAACTCCATCCTGCAGCCACTAGATGGAGCTATGTCCATGTGCAGTGAACTGGGACCAAGCCAGAAACCAGTGGAAGGGTGAGGTTGGATACAGAGCACACCACAGTGACAGACTTCATCATTATTTCACACGACCTCATTCAAAACAACTGCACATGTCTATATAAAGCTTATAATTTCTAAGCCAGATTCGGAGTCAGGTGATCATCATACTAATACAACTTTACACTTCTGCACACACAAATATTAGGAGGATCATTTTTACTTTTTGCTAATAAATTTACTTGCTGGGACTGTTTAAATTTGAAGAATCAAATAGGACCTCCTTGACAATTAAATTCTCGGGTTCTCTTTTGCTGCCTGAGTGAGGTTTGAAAACAAAAAAGGAATGGAGATGATTAAATAATAGCCCAGTAACCGTATACAGTCTGGGACGTATCAACGTGGCGCATGAGATCATGCACGGTTGTGGGTACCAGTCTCTTTTTCACACACAGTCTGGAGGAGATAGATGAAGTTTCTCATTAGGCCGACCTGTTTAGGAGTCCACCAGCACGTCATATGTCGAGGAGCCCTATTAACAAGCTGCCACGGAGATTAGCCACTGGATACACACGCTTACTCAGTAATGACAGACGGCACGATGCTGCCAAAGCATTAAACAAAAAGCTACTTGCATAATCTGTGTGAAAAATTCATGCTCAAAGCACATGTTTTTGATTCCTATTACCTTACTAACAGCCTATCACCACTAAACCGTATAAAACAAGAAAAGAAAATGTTAGTTCGGTTCTCCTGGACCACACCTCGCTGCGCTACCGTGGATGTTGCGTTTGGATTTGTGCCCAAATTCAGCTGCGCAAAGCAAAAACGTATCCAAGAGGAGTCCAAGCTGTAACTGGTGCCAGAGGAGCCTCTACACTACCGATTTAAATGTCTGAATACCATTCAAAGGAGAGATTTCAGTTTGAAGTTTTTAATAGAATTGCACCAGTTTCTAAAAATACATTAGACTGATGTTCGAAAATGACAGTTATCTATTTAACATGAAATTTGCCAGTGTATAGAAAGTAAAGGGATATGCTGCTGCAGTGGACACTCCTCCAGGAATGTGCTCAGTGAGCCCGGACCCGCCAGCGGCCACAGTGTGCGACTCTATGCTCCAGAAAGACACAACGTGACCAAAAAAAAAGAACCAAGCCCCAGTAGAAATAAAGCCCGTACTATGCTTCATGTGAACACCCGGGACACTGCACATTATGCATCATCATCTCCATCAGAAACGACACAGCCACAGCAGGGGGTGACCCCTGGTCCCTTAATCAGCACCGTTGACAAAGCAGTTTAGCGAGGCTGGCCCCTGACAGTGTCAGACGGTGAGAAGGTTATACTAAAGGCTCAGGAGCTGTTATGTGTGTTTGGGGTTCTATTCGGTTTGGATGGAAATCACCTGCTGCGGCTCTGAGAATGTCCAAGGCAACAGCACAACAAACCTGACGTGGAAGCATTCAGTATAATCTGACATTTTCTATAACTCACCTCATAATAAACGCGTATTTTGTGTAGGATATGGTTCGGATGCGCTCGTTTTTGGACTGCTGCCTGTAAAAGGACACCTACGTGGGGTGGGCAGAAATAGCAAGCAAAGGGAGAAAGGACTGAGGGTACAATATGGTGAGGAGAGGAGGGGTCGCAGGAGGCAGCAGCGTGTGGGGGAGAAGAATGCGGTTTTTAACTTAATTTGTTATTTACAAGGGCGTTATGGATATCCCCGGTCTGGTGTCTGTCCATTGACTTTATAAATAGTAAAGGTTAATTAGTTAGCTGAGAAACTGGATCTGGGGCGGGCAGTTAGAATTTCCAGAGACAGGTAACTCAAGCAATCCCTATTATCATTGCAATCAGACCTATATAAATCCGCCTTGACTGGCAGCAGTCACCACATAGCCTCACCTCTCTGCTGCATCAACGACCGTCCAGAACCCCATAACAAGGTAAGTTGCTGTGTGGCTTCAGGGAGGTCGATTTTTACACAAAGTGCCTACTTTTATTAGTTTTAAAAAAAAGATTTTACATGGATGGACTCTCTGACTCATAGTGACCACCCTTTAGAGCAGTTTTAGAGGCTCTCTACTTACATGGCAGGTGAGCTTCACCCTTTCATGCTCTGTTACTGCACTGACTTCTCAGTGCCATTGTTGTCACCTGGACACCTTTTGCTCTCATCACTGTCAAGTTGGCAAGTTTTCTTCTGTACCTAACTAAAATGTGTTAATAATTCACTATAACTGTTCCTCCAACAGGATTAAAATGTCGCTCTCATCTATCCTTTCCGCTGATGCCATCGATAGTGCTCTCAAGGAATGCCAAGGTATCCTCTACCACATTATCATTATTGATTTTTTTCATTTGTGTTTTTCATCAGTGCTGCACAGTATTTCTCCTACAGCCACCAGATACTAGGGGGTTTCTCTAAAAGCCTGCTAGAGGATTGGAAAATTGGACAGAAATATCTAGAACATTCCACAGCATTCTGGATGTATGCTTTTATCAAGCACCGTGCGCTCTGGGCAAGAACATAATAAACTTTGTCAGATGTTTGTCTACACAATTTAAAATGAGGATATGTTGATACTACTGTGACTTTGCTTTATTCTAGCTCAGATGGAAAACTGACACTAAATACTGAGACTATAATCAACAGAAGGCAGAGCTGTCATTGCTGACTGCAGTAGACCAACTGTCTCTCACTCTGATTTCTATTTCTACTCCAGCACCAGACTCATTCTGCCCCAAGAGATTTTTCAAAACATGTGGCCTCAACAAGAAAAGCCCTCAGGATGTGAAGAAGGTTTTTGGGATCCTGGACGATGATGCCAGTGGCTTTATTGAGGAAGAAGAACTCAAGTGAGTGAATGACCGATTCATAAATTACAGACTTTTTCTTGTACCCAGGACCCAAAGGGTCAGTGGCTGATTATGCATTTCCCTCTAATGAAAGAGGAGATTAGAGTGCAGCATCTATATTTAGTTAACCTAACTTTTTGAGGCTAAAATATCATTCTTAATACTAATTCATATCGTTTAAATGCATGGATGATGAACTAATGTAACTCAGGTCTGATGAATACTGTAAACATGGCGTTGTCCTGCAACAAAACTCGCTACAGTCACATATGACTTGATAGAGCTGCAATTAAACTGAAAAATCATCCTCTTTACTTATATTCCATCAAGAACTCATTTGTGTACATTTTGGGGGGATTGTGTAAAGGCTTTGCATTAGTACAGACAGAACCTTAGCTTCGGAGCCTGACTACTGCCTTTGTGGTTGTTACTCTAACATTTTTTCTGTGGCGCAGGTTTATTCTCCAGAGGTTTAATCCTGGCGCTCGCGTTCTGACAGACAAAGAGACTAAAGCCTTCATGTGCGCTGCTGATGATGACAGCGATGGCCGAATTGGAGCGGAAGGTAAAAGGATCCACACTTATTTCATAGACTCAGTACATGTGCACTGTGCTCAGACAATTCTACATTTTCAGTTATGTACGTAATCTATAGTGGTTGTTCGGGACTGGTAACGGCAATAAGAGGGACAACTATATATTACAGTACTAAAGGAAGACACAATGTGAATTCTCTCTCTTTCATATTGTTACCACATATGTTAAAGTTACACCCGACAGATGAGGTAAATAATCAGGTGTCCCATCTGATTAACGCTACTTCTTTCTTCCACAGAGTTCCAGGCCATGATCTCATCCTAAACAGCTGGACTCATCCTGTCCAACCTGACATGACCCCCTCCAACTATATTCCACTGCTTCAAGGGCTCTTTTAGTGTCAGTCAACTATTTTCCATCTGTTAGATTAAATATTTTGATTTTTTTTTTTTTATTCTGCAAGACTTATTCCTGGCCACAGAATCCACATTCAGATTGTTTGTGTGTTTTGTTTTAAATCATAAAGTTTTATTTCCCCACATCAACATAATTTATCGCATTACTGAGAAAATAAAATAATAAAATCCAAGTCATGTGGTTGTCTGCATTATTTCTAAGTGTACTCTATGTTGTATGTTTTCTACTCTCACTTTTACAGAAAAAAACCCATTGAAATATGCAATAAGCACAAAAAATACCCTTAGGAAATGGGAATCCATATAATGCATGTACACACAGATCCAGATGTGCCCACTGTATGCATGAAACACACATGTGGACATGCAGTCACACCATTTCCTCTACAGTCCTTAAAGTTTCACTTACCCTTATGTAACACCACAGTAACTGAGAATGAATGTTAGAGAGTGTCAGGTATATGAGAAGCCTGACATGTCACACACACACAAACACACACAGTAGAGTTGTGTATTGTGTTACTCATGTTGTGTGGTCAGAAATCTGTTCACGCAATCATACTGTGGAGACTCACTAGTCCCTCTAAATCATGACATGTTAGAATGAAGTGTCAGGTTAAGGTGAGGTGAGGTTATGGTGAAGGCTAAGGTTAGGGTAAGTCAAGGTAAAGTAACCATGAGGAATGAAAACAAACAGGTGTGTGTCTGCGTGTGTGTGACCTTGATGACCACGTGAGTGCCCCGGCGGCTGGTTTGAGTGACACCTGCCCTCAGCTTTGTAATTACACCCAGCTGGACCTTGGTGGTGGTGTGTCTGTGTGTTTGCGTAGTAGGAAATGCATACTCTGCAGAATGCTAGCCTGAACCGCATCCTGTTGCCAGGTCTCATTGATAGCTCAGGAGTGCTTGCTCAGGATATGCTGAAGAATCATCATTATATTAGCCTCTCCCACATTCTCAGAAAGACGTTTGATCATATCACAACTCTGCATTCCTCCTCCAAGAAACTTTAATAGCACACTGTCGTTTCATTCTCTGCACTTACAGGATTCATGGGATTAAAATTAACAACCACCTCACTATTTGCCAAAATACAGACAAGCAGATATTTTCAGAGCTCCCAACTTAGTGCCATTTCAATTATCTGTATATCATAGGGAGAACCTGATTATTACAGTACACACCTGCTACTCGGAACTATGGGGCATACCCTAGTATTAGCATGAGGTCTTGGTCCCAAAAGGTAGGATGTATAGTTATACCTATTTCTGCTTGATTGAGGTTTTAAGAGTGTTCCTTCTTCCACAGGCCATGTAGCCTGTAAGGGCCTGTGTGTGTTTTGTCTAATTACAAATATCACTGTCACTCCAAAATGATACCTCTGTGCTAAAACCAATGATTAGTATTTTAATATGTAACAATTAGCAGCCATTTCATACAGTACAGGGGAGTGTGTGGGGGGGGGGCCCAGGCTACACAGCTGCAAGAGGGACAGGGGTGGGGAAGCCAGTAGGTGTTTGGTGAGTGATAAACAGAAAAGAAATGTGAGCCAACAGTATGACACTGACTGTTGATGTGTTGCTATGGGACTGCAGTACAAGATTCTGTGCCAAACAGGTTACCAGGACTGAAGGGCAGAAGGAGAGACAGAGAGAAACTGTTGTGCTTTTTCATTCACAGCTTTGACAACAATCCTATTTGGCTGACAATGACAATGAGCCAATCCCAGCTGCCATTCGGTGAGAGGCAGGGTCCATCCTGGACAGGTCACCAGTCTATCACAGGGCTGACACTTAGAGACAGACAACCACACACGCTCACAGGCAATTTAGAGTCGCCAGTCAGCCTAAGATGCATGTGTCTTTGGAGCGTGAGAGGAAGCCGGGGTACCTGAAAAGAACCCACGCAGGCACAAGGAGAACATGCAAACTCCACACAGAAAGGCCCTGGGTCAGCCGGGGCTCAAACCCAGAACCTTCTTGCTGTGAGGCCACAGCACTAACCACCATGTCGCTGTGTGGCCCCACACACAGACATGTTATTTAGTAAAGCAAATTAACAAATAAATCAATTAAGCAATATGTTTTACTAAATTATATGACAGACCTGGCAGACTTGTGATGTAGTAACAGATACCATGGAATTTAGTAGAGAAAATTAGGCTAAACAATCATCGATGTTTTAGTAAATTACATGACAAACCAGTCAGATGTCATGCAATGACAAATGTCATGTAATATAATAATAAACCAATTAATTAAATAATGTTACTAGAAGTCATCAAACAAACTACAGACTACAGTTTCTGATTGTCTGCAAATGGCACATAAATCTCACACAAGGTGGGGCATTTGAAAGAAGGCACATTTACCCTAGAGAGAAAAGATGCATCATGGGAAATGTAGGATTCAGTTTTTCATCTTTAAAAATCTGTCTCTTACAAGTCCCCCTTTTTTATGAATGTACAGTACTAAATTATAGCTGTGTTTAAACCCAACTGCTCCATTGCCAGCTCTACGGGGGGTTGCATATTGAAATATTGCATATGGAAAGGTTTGCTTTCCACTACTGAAGTTATTTCTAGTCAGCAGTCATTTTGCAAGCGTTATATAACATTTTCATATATCCTTTATAAGTTATTTGTTGCTGCCTGCAGCTTCCTTCAGTGCTTGCAGCATCACATTGCATATTAAGACTTACACCAGGGTTTTTCAACCAGTGGTCAGCAGCCCCCTGGTGGTCCACAGAGGCACTGCAGATAGTTCCTGGTGTTAGTGATGTAGTAGAAATCTTTTTAAAAAACAAATTTCCATGTATTACTTATTGTTTGTGAATGATCAAATTCATGCAAATGTATACAATTTAGAAAAACCAGGGTGACCTTCAGAATTCAAATACTGCCAATACGGTGTAGCCACCTCCAAACAGTGGCCCTCGGGTTCCTCCTTAGTCAGAATGGTGGTCCCTGGGTCACAAATTGTTGAAAACCCCTGTATTAGAGGAAGCAAAGCAAGCATACAAACCTAATTTTGATATTTAAACATTTTGTGTGGCTGCTAATACTGTATCAAGCAATACACCTGGATTAGCCTGTTGGTATGGACACATGCATCGCATGCTTGTCTGCTTGATGCTTCAATAATTGATGCCCTTGCTTCACTGTCACCCAAAACACATATCAAGAAAGGAGTGTCAGGCTCCCCTTACTGATTAGGCCTGTGTGAAACTTTAATGTGCACGTTTTTTGATTATCCTCCTTTTTGTTGTCATTTTTCTTAAGCATGTATCCATGCACAGGGCTGGGTGGGAGGTGAGCGTATGTTCGTTTTAATGCTCTTATGTTCTAATGTTCCAAAATGTAACAAAATATTGAATTTCAAGACAACAGCTATGCACCTCATCTTCAACTGACACCAAACTGATGTCTGCTGTGAATCCAGGGTCTACTGTGACAAACACCGACCATATTTTGACTCATTCCCAGTCTTTTGGAGTCTAGAGATATCAGAGATGTTGCTACCCGATAGCCTGACAGGGAGTAACATTGTAAAAGATTCAACTGCTGCATTTGGATGACTGAACAGTCTTTGTAAACTCTGTGCAGGAACTCCATCCATAATGCAGGGGATGACAGCCTTGCCTCTGTTCTCCAACAAGCATTAGTCCGTGTGATGTCTGTGTGCAGCTTCCCTTCATTAATGAATTATAGGCCATACACATATCAGTGGCTATTCTTGATACACACAGGGTATTCCTGGATGGTAATTTCTCAATTTCCACCCTGGCCCGACACCGAGTCTGTTAACTAGAATAATTTAAGTTTGTTATCTGAACCAAAAGCAACACCCTGCTTAAACTCTTGAGCAGCTATTACATGGACTGAGTCACACTCAGACTGATTAATGGTTGTTACAGAGAGGCAGACGGGTACTTTGCAGACTTTTCCAAGTGAGAAGGCAATCAGATAAGACGGCAAACGTCACCCAGGACAAACATGCTTTGACAAGTTGAATAATGGAGGCAAACTGCGTTGGTGCAGAAGACAAGTAAAGATTGTGTGTGTCTGGGTGGTGTTTGGTCAGTAAACACCTTATAATATCCACAAATGTCAAAATGAAACACAAACTTTATGGTGATAACTCTTTTTATCATTAAAGATTATTACTTCCGCTATTACTGCCAGATAAATAAATTCCCTTGGCACAGTTTTTTGCGATACTATGTAGTTTCATGTTGCTTCACCTTTTAGGAGCATACTTTTACACCTTATACAAGAAATAAGGCTGTACCTTTATTCTCCTTACAGCCACAGAAATAAATGTTAAACCAACAAACCTTCAGTAACAACATCCTTAACTCAGCCCATAAGAAGGCTCCACATATGATCAGTTCTTTCACGTTGAACGTTACGCACCTATGCATCTTAATTATGCGGAGATTCAATAGGTACTGTGTGTGTGTATGATTTGTAGGCTGTGTCTGAGGCACTGTAAGCAAGTCTTAGCAAAATATTCATTGCAGTCTATCAGTTCACACACTATGTCACAGACCAACTAAAACTGTACCTGAGTAACCTGCAGCCTGACAGACTTCCTTGTTCCTACATCATTTAAAGAACTACTTTGAACTGTCAGGTTTCAACTACCCCTGTAGTCTCAGTTTCTAACTCAGGTCTTAATCTGTCCATCGGAGCCAACCATTACCTCAGCAGAGCTGCCAACGTAGCAGACAGAAAGCATGTAAATGCCACGGTGCACTTTGGAAACATATGTGGGAGATCATTTTCAAGCAGTGTTGGGTTGGTGTTGAACTGGACATAATTAAACTAGTACTTTACCATGTTTTGCACAGTTGACTATTGAAACTACAATGAAAATGTATCTATAAAAGTAAAGAATGGTTTAAAATTTTTATTTTACCATGCTGCATGTGAGCAGCTTTTCAGTGTTGACTGGACATTTTCACAGCCAAACAAAGCCAAAGCCGTTGAATATGAACTTCGAGAGACAGCTGGAGCTGTTCATTGCAAGGACTGTTTTAGTTGTTGAAAGATATTACCCAGTTCTTTCAACCAGTAACTCTGAGAGACGACGCAGACCACTTGGATACATAAAAAATATAACCGTGCTGGTTTATTCAAAGGATCACAGGCAAAATTAACATCACACGTCCAGGCATCTTCCACCTCCAGTACTGCGCACAGGCAGCCCGGAAGATGAAAAGCCCCGAACCTAATAGCCTATACAATTTAATCACTTGGTTGGGCTAGCCCCATCCTACACAGGCAACGTCAAACCGTGACGTCACCTGATATGCCAGCTTGGCAGCTGACCAGAGCAGTAGTCAAAACATGGAGAAAATTAAAGTGTGTGGCTGTTGATTAGTGGTGTGTATCTAAAAACATACAGGACATTCAGGGACATGTCCGAACAGTAAGCCTCGGAAGATATTATGATTAAGATTACGGCTGAACATATCATGTTAATAACAATATTCATCCTGCCTGCAGACTCTTCAATCTAGTTGACCTTGGCCTAGATGCAGCCTGCAGAACTCATGACAATGAACTGAGCATTTAACAGCCTGAGCAAGACATCCTGGCTACACTAACATTTTCTGATACAACAGATCTCTAATCACTATCTATCTAACTAAGAAATTACCTAACATTGTTAAGACTGTACAAGTCCGATGGTACCACTCTGACAAGTAAGACAACCCGTGCTCAAGTCAGTCAAACAGTCTAAAAAAGGGGCAAGTTAAATATTTTTGATTTACTTTTTTTGGTTGTAGTCAGCAACTCATTTTAGCACAACTGCCTGAACACCAAAACAATAATTTATCAAAAACACTAATACTTCACAATCAAACGACTGAATTTAACTCACCTTCTCCAGATTAGGCTACCTGAATTAACCGCCATTAAACAACAGAAGAAGAAGAAGAAAATCGCTACCTGAATTCGCTTTTACTTTCACCGGATGTGACGTCACCGTGGCCTCTTTTCTGTCTGACGGACCTTGTCACCGATTTTGATGTGTATCAACAGCACACACCCCTAGAAGAGATCTGCCCTCGGGGTTTTGTTTTTAACAGTTTGTCGCTGACAGTGTCCGCCACCATGCCCATGTACCAGGTAAAGCGCGTTTGTGGGGGTGATATAAAGATTGATTTGCCAACCTGCATGTACAAGTTACCAAATATCCACGCGCAGCATGGGGACAGCTGCACCTCCGAGCACGCGCTTCAGGTAACAGTTAGCTAATTTTATTCCGACAAGTCTAATTTTTCATATAACTAGTTAATATTTTGCTCCCGCATTGTATTTTACGAGCACTCCGTTTGGTTTCTCTGCTTTCTCTTCTATCTCGCACTGTTTATTAGCCTGAACTGTCTTTAACTAAGCTAGCTGGCTAACTTAGCTTAGCAGGCTACACTGAGTGATTTCACTTCAGGCTGATGCAACAATGAACTTACTGCACGTTTCAACTGTCCAACATTTATACCTTGTTATAGAAAGTAATGGTGTTGTTAGAGGAGCGTGAATTCACTCTTTCTTACATCTGTGATATAAATAGTCACTAAAATGAAGGTCATGACACACCTTAGGAAACGTTTGCTTCAACTATGCAGTCACTGTACTAAAATGTAGTAAGTTTGTAGCCTTTTTGATGCTACATTTGATAGCTAAAGTTGTTAGGCACTTCACATAAAGATTTTGCAACTCGATGAACATTTTGTGTTTGTTAATATGTGTGCGTGCAGCGTTGTAATAATAGTTTAACACTCAAAAGGGGCCATTTTTCAGCTGGGTACATTCACTTTTGATATGTCAGAGGATAGATTTGCGTTTAGTCAGGTGAACATTAAAATGGGTTTTTAATATCTACATTGACTGTCATGAGTCTATCCTTAAGTACATACATACATTTACTTGCATAACATTTTCAGTGTAAAACGCTTACATATATTGGAGATTTTTAACAGTGTGGTATTCCGAGTTTTATCTGTATCTGGACACCGCCTCCAACTCTGCAGGATAGTCTGTAATGTTGACTCCCATTTGGGACAGACATTGTAGGGGAAACAGTATCACTTGTATAAAACCTACTGTACACAACTGAAACCCTGACTATCCCAGGTCTAGCCTGAAAAATCTCTTCATGAGGTGTCTGCTGCATGGCTGTGTTGTCTCTTTGAATGCCCACATTGTCAAGTCCCTGGTTTTAGGCAAACAGAGTGGTTTTCTTTGCCTTCCCAGAATGGCGACGTGGATCCAGCAGTCAAAGCTCTGGAAGCCAGGCAGGATGAGATCATGAGAAAACTGTATGAGCTGAAAGCAGCGGTGGAGGGCCTGGCTAAGACAGTGACCACCCCTGATGCGGATCTGGACCTGACAGTCAGCAGCAGCCTCTCTTTCAAAAGCTCCAGCTCCACAACCTTCAAAGGCACCACAGACCTGGACACACTACTGGGCAAGGTGAGAAACTGGAAATAATACTGATGTGTTTTAGTGATGCTGGAATGTTTCCTACATGAAACCATGCACATGTAATTTGACTCTCTGTTCTGTTTGCCAATAGCAGCCACTGCATGTGTTCTGCTCATACCCATCATAACTACTTATCATTACAATTTACACTGTAAATACTGTGCTAACTGGCACAACCTGCTCATAAAAGAATTTGTCTTGAAGCATATATGAGGGTGTGACTTGATTGCAGCCGGTCTGTGCAAGCTGTTTGGCCTAGTTATAGAAAGCAGTGAACAAATGTTAATAGATTATTTATTTAGGATACTGCTCCTATTTACCTCTGTCTCATTTACATCACAAGGACCTCGGTGCTCTCCGGGACATTGTCATAAACGCTAACCCAGCACAGCCACCTCTGACCCTGCTGGTGCTTCACAGCCTGTTGTGTCAGCGCTATCGGGTGCTGTCCACCGTCCATGTCCACTCCTCAGTTGCCAATGTGCCACCGCAGCTCCTGTCCTGCCTTGGTCCGCGCCATCCAGACAGTTATGCCCGCCACATGTTCCAGCTTGGTTTCACCCTTATATGGAAAGATGGTAAGGCAGGGAGGGTAGTGTGGCCTATTGGATGGGTCTGTATATCATTCTTGCATTATTGTTATTATAAATTAATACAGAAAGGCAAATGCAGTATACCTGAATCAGTTTATTAAGTTGATGCCACACAGTCTTGATACACAGCAACTAATCCTGTTTAATTACTAAATACTTTCTTGTGAGAGAGTGGTATGTGCTTTGCTTGACTTTCCCAAGATTCTGAAACTAGTAATAACACCTTTCACCCATAGCAACTACAAAAAAAACCTCCAAATAATTTTCGCTCTCCAGCCGACAAAATGGATGAACTGCTACTTCTCAGCAGGACAAACACTGACCTTTCATACTCAGCTGCCCCAGGTGTTAGTGAGGTGTCAGAACATCTGGCAGATAACCAGCATGGAACATAAACATCTAGATTACCTTCTAATTATTTGAGGGTACTGTAACACAGCAAACCTCGGCCAGGAATAATAAAGATACAGACATATTAAGTGTTGCACCAAGGAGAAAAACACAGACTGCTGCCACACCATATTAAAGGGCTCCTGCTGCTCTGTTCCCTGTGTGGCTCTGGCACTCTGATCACTGTCTGGTTCATCTTTGAGCACCTTACAGACAGAAACATGAGGTTGCATCTACAGACTGGGAAGAACTCACTGACACTGTGACATTGTACATTGGTTTTTGTGAGGGCATGAGTGGTTTGCAGCCACATTGAGGCAGCTCTGTGAGGCCAAGGGGGAGGCCTAGCAATGGAGACAGGATCCTGAAGAAGCCACACTGAAAAGCTGAAAAGTTGGTTTTCCTCCAACAAGACTGCATCACTGTGGAGTGGCCTGAAGGATAGCACCAAGTGCAGGAAACCAATTCCTCCCCCACTACTCTATAACTTATTACATTGCCCATTGAGTATTTGTTTCAGCCCCTGTTGCACTCGTCCACACCACTTGTTGCCTTGTTTACACTTTAATAAAATAGGTGATTTGGATCTAGACAAGTTTTTTTATTCATCATTGCTACATGTACTATATGTATCTATTTCTTTCCTATACTTGTATTTAAATAAATAATAGTTTAGCTGCAAGTCAATGTGTATCTTCCTGAAAATTGCTATTGGTACAGTGTATGAGTGCATTGAGAGTCAGATTCAATGATTGCAAAACATACTTGTCCAGTAAAGCTGAGATGAAAATTATGGACAGTTCATTGTGTTTTAGAAATGCTATTTCTAATCATTTCAAGTTTTGCATGTCCATTCATGTGAATAAACGGCATATTCACACGATCTGAATGTTGGGAATGCTTGTGTGCTAATGAGACATTTTTCTCATCTGCCCTATCCACAGTGCCAAAACTGCAAATGAAGTTCAGCATCCGGAACATGTGTCCCATTGAGGGTGAGGCCAACGTGGCACGATTCCTTTTCAAGCTGCTGGCTCCCTACCCCAGTGACCCTGCCCTCGCCACCTTGGTGGACAGCTGGGTTGACAAAGCTTTCCTCCAGCTGGCGGAGTGCGGTGCCAAGAAGCAAGCCGCTGTCCTGCGGGCCCTCAATTCTGCCTTGGGACACAGTGCCTGGCTGGCTGGCCCAGAGTTTTCCCTGGCTGACATCGCCTGCTACTGCTGTGTGCTGCAAAGTGGCTCCGCCTCATCTGCTCCTGCTAATGTCCAGCGTTGGCTCAAGTCCTGCGAGAACCTGGGCCACTTTGGCCCTGTCAAGCAACTTCTGCACTGAATGGGGCTATCCCAGGACCAGACACCAAAAGGGTGTCTTACCCAAAGTGAGAGATGGGCATTAGAATATTAAAGTATCCAAGTCATGTCTAGAAGGCCTACTAATGCTTTCTTCCTTACGGAATTAATTTACTGAACTGACAAAGACTCAATAGAAGCAATATGGTTGACAAAGTAACATAAGAGTATTGTCTTCACTATGCTGCACTTGTATTGTGAAATTCTTTTTGCAAGGGAGGAAGCATGAGAGGACTGTAGAGGCGTGGTGATGGGTTAAATCTAAGGTACTGATAGAAGTGTTTAGTCTAACACACTGTACACCTTCCACCCCACCCACTTTGTGCCTAACATGATCCTGTATGTTGACTGGTATTACTGGGTGACTTCAAAAGAAATACTTTGTATCGATTGTTTTTTCTGAAGTCATTAAAACACTTTGGATCAAAATTTGAACTGCAGCTTAGAGTCTAATGTTTTGGACAATCTGATCACTTGAAAAACTATTTTGCTGAAGTGACCGGACAGAAGGCATTTACTGAAGTGCACCTCTGTGTCCAACAGGTGGCAGGAATGTCATTTATAAGCTGAAGATGATTTCCAAACTTAGTCATTCATTAATTCGCCTGCTGATGCTGTACATCCCAGGGAAACACTAGACAAGCAGTTCTTCCATGACAAAGTTAACACTAAAACTCCACATGGGTTGCATGTCTCCTGAGCAGAGGATGACGGCAGTCAGCAAACTTATTCACACAGTAAGGACATAAGAGATGGAGCTGTTGTGCATTTAAGTTTGCAGTTTTAAACCAAACTTTTTCTGTTAGAGCCTGACCAATATGTCTGTCAGTAGTGCCAATATTTGTATTGCCATACACTGATCAGCCATAACGTTATGACCACCTGCCTAATACTGTGTACATAGGAGTCAGTGCTGCAGTTGGTTGGCACTCTGTAGCTCACTGTACATATTATGCAAATCCATTTGCTACTGTCAGAGCACAAATGTGTCAACCATCCAGACTGAAAACTGTTGGAGATAATATTTGAGACAAATTCAACAGCAACCCGACTCTGGGTATAATACCACTATAGCCGCTGAATGTTTCTCTTCATAGAGACCAATGTACAGTATTTCTTATTTTCACCTGTTCTAACAAAGGTTCAAATTAAATGGAATCTTTTGAAAAGGATGAATGAAATTATGTAAAGTTTAATCTGTAGTAGGTCGACATCATTGGTGAGACTTGGGCTGCGCTCATTCACTGTTTGTAGGTAGTAATCACTGCCGATCAGGAGACCCACCAAGACCTGCAGTGTGCGAGAAGCTGTAAGCCGGTCAGAGCCCGGATAGCTCAGTCGGTAGAGCATCAGACTTTTAATCTGAGGGTCCAGGGTTCAAGTCCCTGTTCGGGCGTTGATACTTTTGGGGACGACAGTGGGTAGAGCAGTCGTCTCCCGACCGGAAGGTTGAAGTTTTGAATCTCGGTGCCTGCAGTCCACATGTCGAAGTGTCCCTGGTCAAGACCCCCCCCCCCCATCATCAGCCATCACAGTCTGACTCTTGTTCAAGTCACTCAGATCCTTACGCTTTCCTGACTCCAACACATCAACTTCTAGGACTGAATGTTTACATGCTGCCTAATATACTGTACTACACACTGACTGGTACGTGTGTAATGAGATAATCGGTGGTATTCATTTTACCTGTCAGTGGTCATAATGTTATGGCTGATTGCAGTATGTTTTTCAAGTTAAATTTTCACCTGTTAAATGTCCTCGGTGCATTTCATGGACACATAATCATCTACTCATTTGTTATGGCTGGTGAAAAGAAAGTATTAGCTGATGTATCAGCACTTTATTTTACAAATTTGTAATGTCCTGTGAGGCGTGTTCGTTCTATATTGAAAAGAGAAGACTAATAAGAGGATATATATTTGACAGTGTGAAATTTATTATGCATTAACGTATCAAAATTAGCATTAACATGGATCTTCACTGTTTAGGATAAACAGAAAAGACTGACCTCAACTTAGTGGTATACAATATTTGTATGAAAAGGTGCTACTGTCTAATTGGTCCAAAACTTTTGGGGAGAAGCCGTGGTTTAGACTTAACTCTCCCGTTATTGGTCCTTCAGTCCGTCCGTCCTCCAATCGTCCTCTCTGCTCCAATCATCGTGGACGGCGCTCTAGAAAGGAGGAAGAATACCTGTACTACTTTTGTTTTCAACGAAGTGCTCCATATTACGCATTGCCTTCCGTTTCACTTAATTAAAACTGTTCTGCCTGCGTGTGTGTGCGCATAACTGTTCTCCCTTTGAAGCGTTCTCATCTACGTCTAATCTATTTTAATAAACTTGGAGCCTTACCATACCAAGACTCCTTTGGGTCCACCGGTCCAGAGGAACGATAAGTAACTATGAGCTCCCTTAGCTACAGCCATAAATCTTTAGTGGACCAGACTTATGATGTTGCATTAGTGTTTCAGTGACTCACAGCAAATATTTGACCAGTGGTTCAGTGAACACACAGAGTGATATTCATAACTATATAAACATAACAGTGACATATAAGTATGTAAACTTATGTGTGCTATAAAATAAAACCATTCTTAAGTGCATAAAATAAAAATCACCCTAACAGTCCTAATAATTTTCCAGGAAGTTAACCTGGAAAGAAGTAGGTAATTTGGTTCTTTGTACTAATAATAGTGAAAAACAGGGCTATTGTCATTTAATTTCTTTTAGCCAATGCACAGCAATTCAGCCGAATGAGCAAAAATGTGAAATTTGACTATAGTCTACCATAAAATTCAACATATATGAAGAAAAAAATCAAGTGAATTATAAAATCTGGGTTTAAAATGGAAGTGTTTTCCTTCTGCAAATCAACAACCTCTTATAAAATCAATGCAGCTAATTTAACTCAAATGAGACTTTTATAACCTTGTCTATTTTCTCTGTAATTAGTATCAGATTACATCGTTCTTTCCAGAAAACCTCTGCATTATTTAGAAATTAGAGACCTTTAAATTAAAGTGTTGTCAACATGTCAGTTCTGTTTACTACAGTGATGCTTCCTTTACACGTCTAGTGTGGTCTTTCTCTGCAACCAGTTGTTCAAACTGTGTTTTCTCCTTGTCAGCCGAGGTGTTGTTGAACAGAATCCCAGCAGCTCAGTTTCACGTCAGTCCGCTGCTGGGGAGTTTGATGTGAAGTCTGATCTTATGTGGCTGCTGCAGACAAAGTCACAGAACATCAGGTAACTAGGATGTGTGCACATGCAATAATGTTAAAAAAAAAAAAAAAAAAAAAAAAACTCCCAGTGTTTGTCATACTCTCTCTGGGCTGGTTCTGCATCTTCATGGGCGTCATGTTTTCGACAGCTCGGGTCCAGACAGCCTGTGTTTGAGTGTGTTTCTGTGCTCTGACAGCCGCCTGTTGGTCTCCAGGCAGCTGCCTGACAAGACAAAAGCTTCTAACTGACATCTGGGCACGTAGAAGGAATACACTTCGGAATGTGCAGCACTGGAATTTTGGAGTTTATGTGCTCTGATTTCTTTACACACACACACACACACACAAGCTTCTTTATAACAGTCATCCTATGCCAGTCCCACAGTGACAGTAATCTAATTCCTTCTGGTCTCCATTTGGTTTTCATGGGGAAAAAAGAGACACAAACAAAAAACTCTTTGTTTGTCTCTTTATATATGATATAAAACATACAGAAGATGCATTCTCACTGAACTGTAGAAAAAAAAACTAAGTGAAAGACAAAATTACTTCAGTTTTAACCCTGTGGCTACTTCAAATCACAATAGCACAGATAGAAAGATGCTTCTGCCAGTAAATTCAGTCCTTGAATGTCATTGTACATGATTGTCAATTAGATATTTTCATTAGGTGGGAGATATATGCTATGCCTATCAAGACAGGTAAGGGAGGAACATTACATCTGGGCTAAATTGTCTGAAATGAAATACTACTCAGGGTTTTCCTAATTGTAGCACAATGTGATTTGATTCGGCATCAATTAAAAGGCTGAGAGACAGTCACTGACAGTGTATTCACTCAGTGACCAAAGAGCACACGTTGCTGTTGTATCTCAAAAGCTGAATGCGTTCAAAGTAGTCATCGGTCAGAAAGTTTCTCTGTGAGGTAACCAGGTTGCCCTTCTGACTGAAGAGACGCTGGACGGGGGCCGTGGAGGGCAGGGTGGTGTTGTATTTGAGGAAAAGCTGCTTCACTCTGGGGATTGCGGATCTCTTCCATCACTCCCCGCTGCTGGATCTGAGTGGCTGGCTTCACAGGCCCGTAGCTGAAGAAATCATCTTCAGATTCAATGGTGGACAGATTCCGGCTGGTGTTGGCCTTGGCTACATTACAGGGATCCATCTGGGATGCCTCTGTCGCCAGCAGGGAGCACATCTCCTCCCTCTCAGAGGCAGCCATCCACCACAAGCGAAACTGAGGAGTAGTTGCTGTTGCAATCTTCGCCTCTGTGCTGGCAAACAGCTCCTGGAACCGCACGTCAATAGCCATTACAATGGCGCTGATGACATCACCAAAGTAATTTGCTGCATCTTTCTGCTCATTTAACTTGTTCTTCAGACTGAGCACAGTTGGGATGACCAGACCCAAGTAACATTTCTGCTCCGCTTGGAAAAGTTCAAGTGCAAACGCAAGTGGGTGGAATACAGTCACATATTCTTTCAAGAAGGCCATCTCCTCTGGCTGCAGGCGAGGGACCTCCAGGCGGGCGCACAGCTCTGTCAGCTCCCGCTCGCTGAGAGACACAATCTTCTGCACAGCACAGTACTCCACATTCCAGCGTATAACAGCAGGAACAACAAGCGCCATCTTTCCTATCTCCTCTGCTGCATCCATTCCAACCTGGAGATGGTGGCATTTGCTCCATATGGCAAAAACCTTGGCCATTGTACTGTAATGCAGCTGGCACATGGGCCCCTGTGACACAGCCTGCCAGAAGTCTTCTGTGACAATCTGCTCCAGAGTGTGCGATGCACAGCGCTGTACAGTGGGTAGAAACAGGAGCATGTCCTGCTCAGGCTCCCCCTCCAGGACACTGCTCACATTCTCATAGAACCCGATGTCATCGTCGCTTTCCTGGTTGTCCACGGCAAACTCCTTGAACACACTGATAAAGGGGCTGCCGTTGTCAGTAACCGTGGTCTGAACTTTACTTTCAATATTGTATGCCACATGGATGTCATGTATTCGCCCAGCAATGGTGTCATATGTGATCCTGCCCGGCAGCCGTGCAAACCCCAGAGCAGCAGATTTCCTCTCCAAAGAATCGGCGTCGATCCAGTGACAGGTCATCCCAAAGAAGCTCCTGTTGTTGGCCGTCCAGATGTCAGCTGTGGTGCACACGTACTGGATGTTGCTGAGCTTTGCCATCACCTCCTCCCGCATCCTGGAGAAACCCTGGTCCACCTTTGTAAACAAGGTCACCCTGTCCATGGACTTCAGCCCTTCAGTTAAGCCAGAAATGAGCTTCCTAAACCCAGGCTGCTCTAGCACATAAAATGATTGGCAATCCTCCACAATGAAGTTGAAGATTAGATCGTCAATCTTTGCTTGAGTCATGCATTTGGAGATAATCTCTGCTTTAAGCTTTTTGAGTTGGCAGTGCCTGCTTTCCTCTCCATTGCGCTCTTCTTTCTTTCTCCCCCTCTTGGCATCAGGACTGGCTTCACAGCCCAAGTGTGTTCTCTGAAAGACAAAACGCCATAGAGGTTTTGTGTTGGTGATGAGCCATTTTTTATTGTCTGAGTTTCCATCAGTTTACAAACTTCAACTGCAATCAAAAAGGAACTCCAAATAATACTTATGTTAACTTAAATGGTTGTTTTTTTCAGTTTATCTGAACAAAAGGAGCCTCCAGCGCTGCGACTTAGTAATCAGCATGCAGCTAGAATGTAACGTTATCAATCACGAGGGTCGCTATTCATTCACAGACTCTTCCAAACATTACCCTGACGGGTACCGGGGTATCACTACAGGGGTATGACTTTCTGTGACTTACGTCTAAATGTTTCTTTAGATTTGATGTTGACGTTTTCGACGTGGATAGCAGATTAACCCTCGGCAGACACAGATTACACTGGACGATGATATTTTTTCCTTGATCTGCCTTGTACGTGAAATGGTGGCGATAACGCCAAGTATGCATGGCCGATTTGGTCTCGCCGCTGACTTCATGGTGATCCCCATCCATTTCGGGCGCTGTCTCTACTGTTTTTGACGTCCTGAAATATAATAAAAGTATCGTAATCGGATTTAGTAATCGTGATTACACGTAAAGTAACGATGGCGGTAGAGAAATTCTGGTGAAAAGGGGCAGGCCTTTGTTCAGATGGTCCCCAGAAAACACTGAAGGTGTAGACACTGTCGTCACTGGTACTTGGGCGCATGCGCATTCATAACCCGGAAGCTCCACCTGGAGTAGCCACAATGGAACAATGCGCATGCGTTTAACATACATGGGCGTCCACGTTGTGACGCCACGGTCCACTCCTTGTGAGTTTTGCTCACATTCATGGTCGTTCTTGTAGCAGGATTTCTTTTTACACCAGTGTTGCTGCGAGTTGGCGCCACCATCAGGGCGCGGAAGTAAAAGTAAAAAAAACCTTTCAACTCTAACTGTATCAAGACCATCCAGTCACTTATAGCTCAGTAGAGATTAAATGATCATTTAAGGAGCAATTACAAAAAAATAGCCATGCATAGAAAAACTGATGGCTACTGAGCCTCGTTGTGCACTAAGGTGCATGTGCAGAGTTTGATATAGAAGGAAACAGTCTATTCTTACTCTAAACTGGACTGCAAGGTGAATTTAGCCACCCTGCTGATCAGATATACACCAGACTGACAGTGCCATCAAGCAGGAGGCACTTTGCTAGTAAAACCACCCAAGAAGTTCCTAAAATGTTTCCCCATCGTCTTGAAAACGTCTGGCTCTGAGAGGCATTAAACTGATTATTATTTCTCTCCTTCACTTCCACCATCATCCCTGTGAGAGCTGAGTTTGGTAATATTAATACATTCTGAATTCAGAGGAGAATGTCCACATTTATTTGTTTAGCTATAATATTTTCCTAAAGATTACACGCGTTTGAAATCCATGAGTGACCTCATTGCAAAATGAAATTTCACTTATACATATATCATCACCGAGATTTTGTTCTTTCTTTATTCAGCAGCACATCTCCTCCATTGGTTAGAATAGGTGAGGGTGGGCTCTCACTTAAAAGCCATTGACGTAGCGCTCTTTAGAAATGGGTTTTAACAGAGGCGCAGTCTGTGTAGGAACAGGGGAAAGTGTTTTGAGACCAGGAAAAGCGGACAAACGGAGAAATGAAGTGGTGAGCAGGTTTGAAGTGTTCTGAATTGGTACATGATGTTGCTGTCGTGCTGTCCTGCACGCTTCAAACCTGTGTGGAGCCCCTGAGTGGGCACAGCTGGTGTCCTCTCCAGCTCAAAACCATTTGGGTCTGAGCACCAGGTGAACGTTTCAGATAATATCCATACTTTTTCTTCGTCATCTGGGCTACACACACCACCTTTAGCAGAGGAGCGAAGAGTGTGGACACACCTAAACAAATATGACCAAAGGATCCGCGCCCTGACGCGCTCCGGTGCTTGCATGTTGGAACGGTGAGAGTGTGGACTAGCATGAAGCGCCATGGCTTGGTGTGACCGCGGGGTTCAAACACTGCTGGCCACGGTGGGGGCTTTTGCTGCTTTCAGTCTGATGACCATCGCCATCGGCACGGACTACTGGCTCTACTCGCGAGCGTACATCTGCAACAGCACCAATGCCACCACAGATGAGACCCAGTCACAACCCAAAGCCAAGAAGGGCGATCTCACCCACTCCGGGCTGTGGAGAATCTGCTGTATTGAAGGTGAGCATGCTCAAAGTCTAGTTTTACTTTGGGTCCCTATAAGCAAAAAAAGTGGGTAACACATAGACTACGGCGCTTTGCGTGGTAATTCACCACAGACTGCACGGTTTCCTGTTCATACAACAAATTGCTTGAATTCTTTCTTTTTGTCCGGTGAGGAATCTTTTGTTTCTCAGTGCGCACTGACGTTTGAGCGCACAAAGGGGCGCACTCCCTTTACGCACACCAAATGGATGGCATGGAGTACAACAAGAAAAGACCTAAACGTTTCTAACGTTATAGATCAGATGGAGAAAACGTAGATACACACAGGTCGCCTACGAATTTTAGCACCATGCTGAAGTGACAAATAAACGAGAAGCAAACGCACGGTGACCTGTTATGCGCTCAACTCAAGCTATTTGCCAACTGTTACATTGCATTGTTCAAGCATGGGCCCACACAATCAATACGGACGTGTTATAATCAGCAAAGGAAAGGGATGCAAGCCAGCGCGTCTGAGCCCATTCACTTTTAAGCCGGCCGCTGCCAGGAAATGTGCGCGCTATTAGTCTACTTTCATTCATGTCTTCATTGTATCCGATGCTGTTGCTTGGCAACATCGCTGAAATTGCTATGGAAACATGCCCGGTTATTTAAAAATAGATGACTCCGAGTTCACGTCATGTCCAAGAAAATCTGAAAAAAAACAATTTGGTCATAAAACATGAGGTAAACGCCCTCTGTTTGCCTTTTTCATCCCTTTGAAAAGTGTTGAATACTTTCTTTTTGCTATTTGGAAAGGAGATGCGCTGGCAGTGACGTCTTATTTCAGAAGCAGGTAGACACTCATTCATTGACCAATATCTTCTTTCCGGCCACCCTTTGACTTGTCTCCTCTTCCGTGAGTCGATGTGGCTCATTTGTTTATGGCACAAATGTTTGTTATGACGCAGAGATACATAGAAACAGGTTTAAATACATCTGCTGCAGGAAATAAAACAAAACTCCATCCATCCATTTTCCTCTGCTTATCCGGGACCGGGTCACGGGGGCAGCAGTCTAAGCAAAGATGCCCAGACTTCCCTCTCTCCAGACACTTCCTCCAGCTCCTCCGGGGGA